AATCCACTCACCTCTGCCTCCCAAAGCGCGGGATTACAGGCTGAGCCACTGAGCCCGGCCCTGTCCCCTTCTTAACACATTGTGTCGTTAGTTATACGCCCATCTGGCCCCCACTGGGTCACCTCGTACTGTCGTGTGGGTTGCTCACTGTATAACTGTACTTGGCAGCCTCTCAGTCCCTCTGATACACACAGAGGAACTTTGGGAGAGTCATGAGTCTGTCATGTCAAACTGACGCCACTTTAATTTTTGAAACTGAAGACCAGTTATCCATCTGCAAATAGCACCGGTCCCAGAACAGCCTCCACAAAGGCTCGTGCCTGACTCGCAGACACAGCATTTGTGGACAACTTTTCATCTCCAAAGCACTTTGCTGCCAGTAATTAATTAATCCTCCCACAACACTGAAAGGCAGGTAAATACCAGGACTGGCTTGCGAGGACGGGAGGGAGGGCTGAAGGCGGCCACGCGGCCCTCACCAGGCGTGGTCAGCACCTCGCTCTCCCCAGCCAGCCCTGCCCACGTGGGACCCCAAATCTGTCTTGGGCCCTTCTGCAGTGTCTGGGCTCTCTAGTCAGCAGGTGACTGGGCAGCCTGGCCCCAGTTGTCCCCGGCGATGGTGACAGCCTCTGTGGCCTCCTTCCTTGAGAGGACAGTGTCGTCCCAGGCAAGTCTGCACCTGCTTCCCCAGGACTCCCTGCACAGGCCCAGCGAGTCAAGCTGATGCCCGTGGAGGTCGCCACAGGAACTTTATGCCCTTCTGGTCACTTCCTCCCAACCTTCACTGATCCCATGGCCCCAGCTCTCCGCTCTGGCCACCTGGCAACTCTCCAGGCCCCACCGACACTGCCAGGATCCCAGTGCAGCTGTCCCTGGGCTCTGTCCACACCTCCTTCCCAATGCAGCCTGGGAGGTGTGGGATGTCCTCCTGAAACTGCAGCTCCTGGTCACCCATGATGCCCACCACCATCTAACACGTCACATGACTTATTCCCATCACTGTCTCCCCACTCCCCCTCCGAACCCCTGTGCACTGCTATGTGGGTTGTGCACTACACAACTGCCCCTGGCAGACTTTCCATCCTGCACAGGTGTATTCCCTGAGCCTCAATCACTTTTTCGGTTCATGAGTGTCCAGCTTGCCAAACAGGTGTGACACGTAACAGGGCCTTGTAAAACTGCAGCTGAGCACAGCTTCATCCACACAGGAAAGGTGTGCAGTCAGGTGGCTCGGGGTACAAGGGAGGCAGGGCTGTGGCGTTGGCAGCTGACCCCGTGGGGGCCTGGGGACAGCCTTTCACAGCTGGGGACAGCTGCGGCAGGTGGGACTGAGAGCCCTGGGCCGGTCGTGGAGAGCCAGGATGCCCTGGGAGGGGCAAGGCCTGGCCAGGGCGGGTCTGCACCCATGGTTCTGGGCTGCCAGGAGGCCGTGCTGCCAGGTACTCTGTGGGCGGTGGGGCTCTCCTGCAGCAAGAGGACCCTCCAGGAGCAGCAACCGCCCCGCCCCCCATCCCCCAGGATCTCCCTCCCTAACTCCCCATCCCCCCGCCTCCCTCCGC